TGGTTCGTCGTCAGAGAGAAAGAGGTAAAGGTAAAGATGGGGGGATTTTAACATGTCACAGGGGCTGATGGGGTTTGATGATAAAAGTCTCTCGGAGGCTCTTGACATTTCTAACACAGAACGAGCGGATGGATGTATATCAGAGGCAGAGATCCGTATGATGCCCTGAAGGAAAGATGTTACGCTGGGATGAATGAGTCTGTGTGAGAGAGAACGAGAGCAGAGCAGAGAAACACGAGAACATCAGAGAACAAGAGTTAATTTGTCAAGCAAAAAGGTGATTAAAGATACGATGATTAGTTACAGCACCTCATACGCACACTGTCATCTATATATTCAAATATTTCAGCATTTGATATGAGGCAGTTGACCTGCTATGCATCGTTTAGGTAAACTAAGTAAATGTGTGTGCTTGTGTGTGTGTTCGTCACTTCTGTAATCACTGATCAGTGTGTGCTGGTGTTTGAAGGACGCTCGTGATCAGAGTACCAAACACACACAAACACACACACACCCACCCATTCTCACAGCACAGGTGAACTTCAGTTACACCTTTAATCCAACATCAGTGTGTGTGAATCCCTCCTCTGTCTGTATAGTGTAGAGCACAGTGTCATTTTAGTAATATTTATATATACTATTATAGGATGTATTCATATATTGAATTAGCTTTTATTTTGTATTTTCAGTTTTCATTTTAGTTAGATTTTTAGTCATTTATTCTATGTAGCTTTTTTTATTTTAGTACTTATTTCAGTTAGTTGAAAGTTTTTCTTTTTTTAAATTATTTTTTATGATTTAATTTTTTTTGATAATTGTAATTTTTTTATGTTTTATTGTTTTTAATGTTTAAAAAAACTTTAATTCATTTTTATTTCAGCTTTAATCATTTTTGTACTTCAGATTATTTATTTTAGTGATTCAAATTAACTACTATTTCTTAGTTGCTGACAAGTAGCTGTTTGCATTATATATATACGTACGTATATATTACATAAACGCAAACTATTTGTAATAGTTTTGGTTTCAGTTAACAGTAACAGTACTGGTTGATCATTAAACTTAAACTAAATTTAAACATACATAAAATACTGAAATACAAAAAAATACTTAAAAAAA